CCTTCACGCTCGGGCACCACGAGAAGCTGGGAGCAGGGCTGAGAAGCAGCACAGCTGGGAGGGGGCAGCACCCACCAGGACACCCCCCTCCCTCCCTCCCTGCCCCAGTCTGAGTTACCTGGAGCAGGCGACAGCGCCCACGCCGTGGGCATGGCCCAGGCCCTGTGCCACACAGGTCACCCTGCCAGCCCTGCCCATGCGCCACACCCGCAGGCTTCTGTCCTGGGGGGGACACAAATGCCTCAGGCAGGAGTCAGCAGGTTTTCTGCCGAGGTTTCTGGGGAGGCAGCAGGCCCCCCTGTGCTTCCAGCACATCCCCCAGCCCCACTGGTCTCTGCTGTTCCAGCCTGAATCCATCTCTGTCAGGGCAGCCCCCACTCTGGGGCTCCAGCATGGACGTTCATTTCTGGTTCTCTCACAGCTTTGGTTTTGGGTCTGTCAGGGCTCTTGGCACCTTTTACCTCCTCAATCTGACACTAACAACTTTTCTGTACTCTGACACCAGACCAGGATGTTTGGAGAAGGAAACATCTCCTTCAGGCCAATGAAACACAACCAATTTTCCCAGGAGCAATGTTAAAAAGGGATAAAGGGAGAACCTATTTGGGGCATGCAGCAGACAGGGATTGTATGAACAAAAAGCCCTTTCTGGAGTTCCTAAAAAACCACAATTTTGCCCACAAGGATCACTAGGAATCCATAATTTCATTAAATGGTGAACAGTGACACACCTTGGCACAGGTGACAAACATCAGACCTTTCCTGAAGACATCCAAAGCCAGGATTGTTTCTAAACAGAAGAAATAAAAGCTGGTGTGTACAGAGCAATGCTGAGATGGGACAACAGAAAGGGGTGAGTTAATTAGCCCAGTTAACGAGCCAGGGGACAGGTCAGGGACACGACTGGTCCCTAAGGACTGAGCCTGTCACACACCTGCACCTTCAGCTCCAGTTCAAACTGATCTCACTGCCAGGGACGGGGACAAAGGGACACATCCTCTCTCCACACAACTCCCAAACCTGCTGTGATGCTGCTCCACCAAGAGCTCAGGGACTCCACCACAGGAGAAGCTGGCTAAAGGAAGAGCTGCCCGTGTCCCCCAGGGCAGCAGTGTCACCCACCTGTGTGGCCGTACAGGATCTGGCAGTGGGACGTTGCCAGCTCAAACACTTTCAGCTGGGGGCTGTTGGTGGCCACAACGATGTGAGAGTCACCAGGGCCCAGGAACTTCACATCCAGCACCTCCTCGTTGTATCCTGCGAGCTGCATTGGAAACAGCCCGGGAGGGAAAAGGCAGCTGAAGGACAGGTGGGAGTGCCTGGTTTTCATTTCACACTGGGTGTAATTTCTACACATAGGAGGCATTTCTGGCTAAATCTGTTCTGCTTTCTCCCTCCTGCGTCGGTCTCTTGCAACATTCCCCCAAACCAGTGGAATTCTGTGGCCCCACGGAACAATCCCAGAACGGGCTGGAGCCAAGGCACCCTTGGTGCTTCTTCCAGCAGCACAGACAAAGGGACAGGGAGGCTGAGGGCTGTCACCTGCTTCCTGAGCTGGAGGCTTTGGGCATCATAGAAGACGATGTTGTGCTCCATGGACACGGTGAGGATCTCGCTCCTGGCGGGCACCAGCTGGCACTGGGAGAGGCTGCGCTCGCTGGGCTCCTCGCGCAGCGCGAAGGGCACGGCCTGGCTGTGCACACAGGCCCCCGTGGCCACGTCCCACACCCTCAGGATGCCTGGGAAAACGGGACAAACCGTGGCACAGCCGCTGCTTCTCATGGTGGATGTCCAGGGAACGTCATCCCAAGCACAGAGGGAAAAGCCACGCGGCCCCAGGCGAGACTGGGCAGGATGCAGTGGCTGGAAAAGCCTCGAGGGTTTGATTCTTCACTCAAACTCATCGAGTTTGGAAACAGAGATAAATGTGTCTGAGTAGTAAATGGATCTGTGCATGTTCCATCCTGCTCAGCCACCCTGCCCAAGGAAGTCAGGAGCAGGCTCTGCTCTCCACCCAAGGCTCCTGCCACATGGAGAACACACAGCCTGGGAATAACAGCACTGAAGTGACTGAGTGCCACCCTTCAGGCTCCAAAAGTGACACTCACCTTTGCTGCCAGCTGTCACAAAGTGCAGCCCTTGCTTCTTCACACCCAGCTGAGAGAAATCTCCCTCCTCAGGCAACAACACCGCAGCTTCCACGGTCTGCAAGAGTCAGAGAGGCACAGAGCCAGAGCTGAAACCCCTGGGAAGGGGAGAAACCTGATTTCACAACATCCAGACCCTGAACGGGGAGACCATGGCCTAGAAACTCCAGAGGGCCCCAAAGGAAGGAACAAAAAGCAGTTTCACCTCGTAGACAGGGACAGTTCGTTTGCTCTGCCTGGTCTCCAGGTCCCAGAGCATGCAGATCTTGTCACGGCCAGAGCTGCAAAAGAAAACCTCAGTTTTAGTGCTAAACCTGGCCAGCTTGGCTCTGGGTGCAAATTTGGCACTGTGGGAGCTCAACACCTCTCTGGAGAGGCCATGGGAGAGAGAGCAGCACTCCCTGTGCCAGCACAGGATGCTCCCAGGAACAAAGGCAGGCTGGATGGGCTGGGAGCAGCCTGGCACAGTGGAAGCTGTCCCTGCCATGGCAGGGTGGCACTGGATGGGATTTAAGGTCCCTTCCAACCCAAACCATTCCATGATTCCAATGCACACCCACCGAGCACTTGCACCACCCCTTCCCTGTCAGCAGAACCCACCCAGACCCTCCAGGAGGTGAAGGTTTGGAGGTGCCAGCCCTGCCAGAGGTACCTGAGCAGGCTGTTCCCATCTGCAAAGGCCAGCGAGGTGACAGCACTGAAGTGTCCCTCCAGCACTGCCAGGCACTTGCTGGAGCTCAGGTCCCAGATGCGGATCTTGTAGTCGATGCAGGAGGAGAAGAGCTGCAGGCGGGAGGCGTCGGGGTGGAACTGCACCAGGCTGGGCAGGAGCAGAGGGACAGCACAGCCATAAAGCCCAGCCCTGAGCAATGCCCACCCCCAGCAGGACAGCTTGGGTGGGCCCAGAGCATCCCGGTGTCCCTGCCCAACCATTCTGCGAGTCCATGAAAATTCTTGCAGAATCAGCCATAACCCTGCTCTCAAAAAGCAGGAAGAGCCCAGAACCTGCTGGGAATGTTGCATTAACTCAAGAACTGCACCCCAATCCCAGCATCCCAGCCCAGCCAGGCACTGACAAGCAGCACTGCTCCTTACTGAACCACTCCAGAGGACCCCTTCAGGTTGTGTGTGCAGTAGTGCTTGACCATATCCCAGACCTTGATGGTGCTGTCACAGCCCCCTGGGAAGAGAAGGACACCGGGCACTGAGCTCTGCAGCTGGCCCTGCCCCGGAGCTCTCGGGGACAGAGGTGGCTCGTACCTGTGGCCAGCAGGGTGCCCGTGGGGTCGAAGGCCATGGTGGCCACGGGCGCGGTGTGCACGGCTCGCCAGGAGCGCTCGCAGCTCGGCTCCCTCCAGCGCCAGCGGCGCAGCAGCAGCGCCCGGCTGCCTGTCACCAGCACCTGGGGACAGGGGACACAGGGACGGGGGACACAGGGACGGGGGACAGCCTGAGCCATGGCAGCAGCGCCTGGCTGCCTGTCACCAGCACCTGGGGACACGGGGACAAGGTCACCAGCACCTGGGGACAGGGGACACGGGGACAGCCTGAGCCATGGCAGCAGTGCCCGGCTGCCTGTCACCAGCACCTGGGGACAAGGGACACGGGGACAGGGGACACAAGGACAGCCTGAGCACGGGCTGGGTTTGGGCTCCTGTCAGTGCCACGTGGCACAGGGAGCTGCTGGGGAGCTCAGGCTCTGGGCAGGGGTGAGGGTGACCCACAGGGGTGAGGGTGACGCCCTGAGAAGGCTCCAGGGGATCTCAGGAAGCACAGACTGTGGAATGGAGGCATGGAGGATCCCCAGCTAGAAGGGATGCACCAGGACCATCGAGTCCAAGCCCTGGCCCTGCACAGACACCCCAAATCCCCCCCATTCCAGGCTCAGCCTGTCCCAGGCGCTCACGGCCCCCAGCACAAACCCACCTCATCATCAGGGCTCAGCACGAACGCTGTGACATCCTCCTCCTCATCCTGGCAAAACAGAGGGGAGAAGCCACGGTTACACCATCCCTGCAGAGATCCCCGAGCTCCCTTCTCCGAGGGCTCTGCTGACCCCCCAGAACCTGTGCTCGGTCCCTTCCCGCCCTCCCCGCACTCCGAGCTCCTGGGAGCGCTGTATCCGCAGTGAGAAACCCCCGGGAGCCTGGCGAGCCGCCCGGCCCGGTCACCTGCTGGAGGCTGTGCAGGAGCGCTCCGCTTTCCAGCTCGACCACGTTGACTCTGCTCCCACAGGGGCAGAACATGAACTTCCCATCGCGGCTGATCTGGGGAAAAGGGATTGGGAAGGTTAGAGCCAGAGGCGCGGCGCTGCCGGCTGTCCCCGCAGAGCCGGGGTTACCTGGATTCGCCCTCCTTTGTAGAACGGCTCGATCCTCCGCGTCGCGGCGTAGCTGGAAGGGAAAGAGACGCGCGGAGAGGCCCCGTTAAAGCGGAGCGGCGGCGGCCCGGGGGCTCCGGCCGCGAGGCCCGGCCCCTCGCCCGCCCTCGCGGCCCCAGCCCGGCCCCGCCGCTCCCTCACTTGCTCTTGAAGCGCACGGGAGCGGCGGCGGCCAGCTCCGCGTCCGCCATGGCCGCGGCCCACGTGCTTCCGCCGCCACTTCCGGGAAGTGAGGGAGAACTTCCGGCCCTCCCAGTGACGTCACGAGGGGCGCCAGCGGCACCACGCGGGGCGCGGCCCCGGAGAGCGGGACGGGGACTCCCGGTTAAGCGGGCACAGCCCGGCCCCGCTGCTGCATCCCCCCGCCATCCGGAGCGCCCCGCAGCACAACCGCCCCCAGGAAGCGTAAAGCTGAACCCCCTGAGCACCGCGGGGAGGAGAACTCTTGATAATTAGAGAGAACAGACACGTTCCATCTTTACAGCACTTCGTATTTTATTGCACATCGAAATACAAAACCGAGCCGCTCCCAGCTGTGCCTCCCGGCAGCCCCGCGCTCTCCACAGCTCCTGGGGACGGGATCGCCGTGAATCAGCGCCGGGAACCTGAACAGAGAACAGAACTGAGAAACGGCCCCGGAACGAACAGCCCAGCCCGGCACCGCCGGCACGGCGCCTATGGGAACATGGGTTTCATTCCCCACACACAGCCGTGGGCAACAAGCTTAATGTTCCCGATGCTCTGGGCGCCGTTATCTCACCCGGGGCCACAGCAGGCCCCGAATGATTTTCAGACCGCGCCGGGCGCTACCGCAGCCCCTGGATCGCCTTCCCGGCGCGCTCCCTGCACCCCGGCCGCGGCTGGGGCAGCACCGTGACCATTTCCCAGCAGTTTTGCAGCGCTGCAGGCGCAGGGACACGCGGCGGTGCGGTCCCGCCGGCCCGCACCCCAGCTCCTCACCGCTTGGCGCCGCGCCGCGCTCTGCGCGCTCCGCCCGTGCGCGCCCCTATATACCCCGAGCCGCGCTGCCCCGCGCTCTGTATAAATAATCACAAACCGCCCGCTCCAGCCCGCCGTGTATTCCCCATCCAGCGCGCAGGGCCGGCGCGGCTCTCGCGAGATGCCCGCGCCGTATAAATAGCGCGCGGTGCCTGAGCGCGGCCTTCTACGCTGAGGGATCACGTAAGTATGGCGGGAGCGGCGGCGGCGCCGCGCGGCCCGGCCCGGCCCATCCGGCCCCATCCGCGCCCGCCGCCGCCCGCCTGACCTCCCGCTCTGTTCCAGCAAATGGCGGACGACGCCGGTGCTGCGGGAGGAGCGGGAGCGGCCCGCGGGGGCTTCCGCGGTGGATTCGGGACCGGGCTGCGGGGCCGCGGGCGCGGCCGCGGGAGGGGCCGCGGGAGAGGCCGCGGAGCCCGCGGAGGGAAAGCCGAGGACAAGGAGGTGAGTGGGGAGCGGGGACGGGGCTGCTGCCGGCCCCCGGGATGGGGCAGCAGAGCCCCCGGTGACTCTTGCCCGCGGGTTTCTCTGCCAGTGGATTCCTGTCACCAAACTCGGTCGCCTGGTCAAGGATATGAAGATCAAGTCTCTGGAGGAGATTTATCTCTTCTCGCTTCCCATCAAGGTGAGTTGCTGTGGATATAGAAGGGAGGGGTCAGGGAGATGCTCCAAGGGGTGGAGCCAGGCAGGGAGAGCAGGGGTTGCTCACCTGGGGAAGGAAAGGCTCCGGGGACACCTCAGAGCCTGAAGGGGCGCCAGGGGAACAGGAGAGGGACGTGGGACAGCATCAGATGGGATACTGGGAGGGAATCGTTCCCTGTAAAGGTGGTGATGCCCTGGCACAGATTCCCAGAGCAGCTGTGGCTGCCCCTGGATCCCTGGCAGTGTCCCAGGCCAGGCTGGATGGGGCTTGGAGCAGCCTGGGACAGTGGCAGCTGTCCCTGCCCTGGGGAGGGGTTGGAGTAGCTGGCCTGTGAGGTCCCTGTGACCCCAGACCATCCCAGGACTCCGTGGTTTCTGTGTGCTCAGCACTGACTCTTGCAGGAGTCGGAGATCATCGATTTCTTCCTGGGCTCCTCGCTGAAGGATGAGGTGCTGAAGATTATGCCTGTGCAGAAGCAGACCCGTGCTGGGCAGCGCACCAGGTTCAAGGTACGCCCCTTCCTCTGGATCCTCCTGCCCACAACTTCCCTTTCTGTACTTGCAGAGTCATTTTTATCACTCCAAATCTCTTTTATCATCACATCTAGTAAATAATTATTTTGTTGTGAGGATCATTAGTAGTTTGTTAAATGTATTAACTTGAAAACATCAGTGACATGTGCAGATGTTCCTTGAAGCAGCACTGGCCCAAAAGTTGGGCTGCAAGTCTTTAAAAGTTCTTTTTAAGGAAACTTTTCTGATAGTGCAAAGTTGAGTTGTTCTTGCACAGCAGCGTTGGGTTTTCAGGGAACGGTTTGGGGTGTAAGCAGGGAACACTGTTGTGAAATTTTGGGGAATTCTGACCAGAGTGAGGCTGCAGCAGGGAATTGAATCCCAGTGCCTGGCTGGTTCTCCCTGAAGGATGAACTCTTGAGGGCAAAAGCGTGTTTAGAGAACTGTGTGAAGGTTTGGGGGTGAGCTGCGAGCCCTGGCCCAGCAGTGAGAGCTCCTCCTGTGCTGCAGGCCTTCGTCGCCATCGGGGACTACAACGGCCACGTGGGGCTGGGCGTGAAGTGCTCCAAGGAGGTGGCCACAGCCATCCGCGGGGCCATCATCCTGGCCAAGCTGTCCATCGTGCCCGTGCGCCGCGGCTACTGGGGCAACAAGATCGGCAAGCCGCACACGGTGCCCTGCAAGGTGAGCGTTCCCCCGGCCCGGCGCTGCCCGGGCACACGGTGCCCTGCAAGGTGAGCGTTCCCCCGGCCCGGCGCTGCCCGGGCACACGGTGCCCTGCAAGGTGAGCGTCCCCCCGGCCTGGCCCTGCCCGGGCTGTGCGCGGGGCCGTGACCCTCCGTGTCCCCGCAGGTCACCGGGCGCTGTGGCTCCGTGCTGGTGCGCCTGATCCCGGCGCCCCGCGGCACCGGCATCGTGTCCGCCCCCGTGCCCAAGAAGCTGCTGATGATGGCTGGCATCGATGACTGCTACACGTCGGCGCGGGGCTGCACGGCCACGCTCGGCAACTTCGGTGAGCTCTGGGGCTGCCACGGGGTGTGGGGACACTTCTGTCACGGGTGGGGCACAGCGTGACAGTGGTTTGTGCCTTGTGCTGGCAGCGTGGTCAGTCCTGCTGCTGGTTCTGTCAGAGTTACACAACCGTGGGGTTCAGCACTCCTGCATCTCCCAATCTGCGCGATTGCACCTGCGTGCCGTGGTGTCATCGTCGTAACTGGAGAGAGAGAGCAACCTGAGCTTTGTGGGTTCATCAGGGAGGCCCTCCCTGGTCTCCCTGGTCCTTGCAAAATTCCACATTTTCCTAACTGCGGGATATTGGAGCTGTGGGTTGGATTGCCTGGTTGTGCAGCCATTAAATGGCAGTGTGTGACAGCGTGTGACATCTCTCTGCAGCTAAAGCCACCTTCGATGCCATCTCCAAAACCTACAGCTACCTGACTCCTGACCTCTGGAAGGAGACTGTCTTCACCAAGTCTCCCTACCAGGTAAGAGCATTTGGGTAACTTACAGCTCAAACCTTCTTACCCTAAAACTTCGGTTTCTGTACCCAAAGGCTTGGTAGCTGTACAGCAGAGAGGGATGGGAGGGGTGCTGAGGAAGCCGTGAGGGGCTGGAGGGAATAACCCCGTTGGTGTTGTTTGCAGGAGTTCACTGATCACCTGGCCAAGACCCACACCAGAGTGTCGGTGCAGAGGACCCAGGCAGCCGCTGTGGCCACCACCTGAGGGGTTTTGTAGGAGAATAAAGTGATCAGAGAACCAGGAACCCGTGCTTGTGTGATGGGGTGGTGCTTGGGGCAGGTGGGTCACACCACGGAATGGGAGGGTTGGAGAGGACCTGGAAGCTCATCCAGTCCCAGCTCCAGCTCCAAGCTCTGTCCAACCTGGCCTGGCACACTTGGAATTGAGAGCCAGGGCAGAGCAGCACATGGAATGTTCTGGAGGCTCATGGAGGAGAGGGCAGCCCCAAGAGCCTGGAGCTGAGCAGAGCTCTTCAAAGAATGAATACGGAGCCCAGCTGTACAGATGTCTGTTTATTGTGGAGGCCAAGGAAGCAGCATGCACTCGGAGAGCAGCACCATGGAGGGAGGAACTGTTGTAGCTCTACTGATTCTCTTGTGCTGCCTTCCTCTCCTCCATCATCCTGTGCTTCTGCTTCATCAGGCATGTCCGTGCGTTGCCGTGGTAACCCAGATCCCCGTCTGAAAAAGAGAGGAGAGCCTGAGCAGTGCCTCCCGTGCGTTCACGCAGGGTGGGATGTGCTTTCAGAGCCCCCTCCTGGGTTCAGAGCCCTTGCCCCGCGTGCTGCTGCCACTCACATCTGTCCTGGTAGGCCTTGGTGACCTGTGCCAGCAGCTCCATCTCCTTGGCACAGTTCTGGAACTGGTTGGGCCCTTCCCTCTGCTTGCATGCAGCCACCCTTTCCCGGACGATCTCCACGATTTCCTGGTCAACCATCCTGGGGAGAGATGGTGAGGAATGCAACAGCAGCCACGGGACACCAGAAAAGCTGAGGACACCCTGTGCAATGCCAGCTCTGGGATTTTCAGCTCCCTGATGCCACCGTGCCCAGAATCCCCCAACAGGCTGCAGGTCCCAGAGCTGTGTGCCCTGCTGTGTCCCTGCCTGGGGACAGTCCTGGGCAGCCATACCTGTCCCTCCTCCACTGAGCCTCGGCCTCGTAGTAGCACAGGTAGTCCCCCTCCAGGCACTGGCTCAGGTCAGGCACGCGGCGGAACTTCTGGTGGTAGTAGTAGAACTTGTTGTTGTTCTGCCACCGCTCGATCCAGCCTGCAGGGACAGCCCGGTCACACAGCCCCGCGCTGGCACTGCCCGCTGCCACCTGCCCCGCGGGGCCACGCTCTGCCCAGCTGTGTCTGCCCCCTGCGCCGTGTCCCACGTCCTGTCCACGCTGTGTCACTGTCCCTCTATCCCCTGCACCTCTCCCAGTGTCCAAGGTGTACCCTGATGTCCCTGTATCTGTCACAGTGTCCACAACATGTCTCATGTCCTTGTCACACTACCAGTACTGTGTTCTTGTCCGTGTCCCATGTCTGTGCAGTGTCCCATGTCCCTGAGTCTGCCCTGTCCAAGCTGTGTCCATGCTGTGTTCTACTGTGTCCCTCCGGTCCATGTTGTGTCTCATGTCCCTGTGTCTGTCCCTCTGTCCACGCCATGCATTTGTCTGTGTCCTGTGTCGCTGTGTCCATGCTGTGCTTGTCAATGTCCCATGTCCCTGTGTCCGTGCTGTGCTCTTGTCAATGTCCCATGTCCCTGTGTCCATGCTGTGCTCTTGCCAATGTCCCATGTCGCTGTGTCCATGCTGTGCTTTTGTCAATGTCCCTGTGTCCCAGTGTCCTGTCCCTCTGCCTGTGTTGTTACTATCAGGACCAGTGTCCTTGTGGTGCCCTCTGCCTGTGCAGGTGCCCGTGTCCTCCCGCCCTTGCCCCGTGTCCCGGTGTGCCCCTCCCGGTGTCCCCGTCCCCGCGCCGCCGCTCAGCTCCCACGGGGACGGGGACCGCGGTGGGGGGAGTCTGTCTCGTCCCGCCGGTACCTCGGATGAAGGTGACGGGCGCGTCGAGCACATAGTTGAAGGCGGTCTGGAAGTAGTCGACGGGATTGGGCACCGACGTGGTCCTCTCGGAGACGGGGGTGCGGGTCGGCGGCACCTTGTACGCCTCCCAGTCGTGATCCTCCGGCATCGCGGCGGCGGCGCGGAAAGATGGCGGCGACCCTGAGGGGGCGGGAGCGCGGCAATATGGCGGCGACCCCGCGGGGCCGGGCGCGGGAATATGGCGGCGGCCCCGGGGCACGCCGGGAGTTGTAGTGCGCGAGTCCCTCCTCCGTGAGGGGATCCCAGAAGGCCGGGATGGGGCGGGACGGCAGAGCCCACAGCGTGTCCGTCTGTCCCCCTCCCTGCTCACAGGGCCATCCGATCTGTCCCCCTCCCTGCTCACAGGGCATCCCGTCTGTCCCCCTCCCTGCTCACAGGGCCATCCAATCTGTCCCCCTCCCTGCTCACAGGGCCATCCTGTCTGTCCCCATCCCATCTGTCCCAATTCCTGCTCACGGGGCCATCCCATCTATCCCCATCCCGTCTGTCCCCATCCCTCTGTCCCCATCCCTCTGTCCCCATCCCATCTGACCCATCCCTCTGTCCCCATCCATCTGTCCCCATCCCATTTGTCCCCATCCCTCTGTCCCCCTCCCCGCTCACAGGGCCATCCCACAGCACATGGCACGGGGCTGGGAGCAGATCCCTTTGGGATATCCCCGGTGAGGGAGGCTCTGCACCCTCTGAGGGATCTGTGCTCGGTCACCGCACAGGGATAACGTTCTGCCTGGCATCAGTTCTGCCCTGGCTCTGGTATCATTGTTGCCCCCGAAGCAGAGCCTGGTCCCGGCTCTGTCCCTCCCTGCACACAGGGACACTGGGGCTGAGGGCTCCTCTGAGCCATGGAAGGCGTCCCTGCCCATGGCAGGAGCTGGCACTGGATGATTTTTACGGTCCCTTCCAATCCAAACTGCTCTGTGATTCTGAGATGTATTGTCTCAGTCTCTTTTTCCAGTCAGGATCACAATCCTGGGCTGACAGATTCCCAGCCTGTGCTGGGGTACCTGGCGCAGGTGTTCACAGCTCTGGGTGTGTGGTGCCCCTTCTGGAAACTGCCCTAATTCAGGAAACTGCCCTAATTCCCCATTCACATCAGAGCTGTTCAGGAGGGAGAAGCGTAAACTGAGCCAGCAGCAATTGACCTTTATCCCACCACAACTGTCGTGTCCAACCTGCCAGGAATGAAATGAATATCGCAGCGGGTGAAGCGAGCGGCTAAATTTGTGTCTTCAGACCCATACCCATCTCAAGTATTAATCTGGGACGCACTTCCTGACAGCCTCTCCCTGCTGCTGCCCGGCCTGGAGACGTCCCATGGTTGGTACAGCTCTGCTGGGGCCGCTTGTGCGCGAGGGTCGGCGAGCAGGGCTGCTTCTGCTCCTGGTGGTGCCACGGGAATGGGGGCAGAATCCTCAGAGCTCCACTCGGGCTGGAAAAGGAGCTTGGTGGAAAGCACAGCCGAGCTCTGGGACTGATCTGAGCTAGGAAGGAGCTGCAGTGGGTGCAGGACTAACCCTTTGCTGCTTGTGGTTGAGGTTTATGTATTTATCTCATCTGGCTTTCAAGGTGCCTTTAGAACCTGTGCATGTTCCTGTTGTCCATTCCTCTGGGCACCCTTTCCCCTGTTTCCCCAACCCTTGGCTGTGCTTGTTTTGTGCCATTTGCCTTGATGACATGAAGCCCAGGAATTCCAAGCAGGCCTTTTTGGTGCTACGGGATACAAAATAAATTATTATAATTAAGAGCACGGAAGGACAGACCTAGTAAAGAATGTATTTCTCCTTCAAAGTCCTTCAGAACAAGCTGAAGGAGGGATATTAGGTTAAGTTTCTTATTTAAGTGGCATAATTTGACCAGAAATTTAGTAAATTCACCCTGACTGATTTAGAATGGGTGTTAGGAAGGAATCCTTTCCTCGCTCTGGGTACGGGGTGCCCAGAGCAGCTGTGGCTGCCCCTGGATCCCTGGCAATGCCCAAGGCTGGGCTGGATGGGGCTGGGAGCAGCCTGGGACAGTGGAAGGTGTCCCTGCCATGGCAGGGGTGGCACTGGATGGGCTTTAGGGTCCCTTCCACCCAAACCATTCCAGAATTCTATGCCATTTTTTCATGTATGCAACAGAAGCTTGAACAAAACCCTGCCCTGTTAGGACTCAGTGAAGAGCCCGGAATCTCTGTGCCATTCCCATCTGGAAGGAGGGGATTTTGGTTGTGTTTTTATCGTGTTTCCCTTCTCCCCTTTCCGGGGGAGCTGATTGAGCAGCCTCCCTTTGCGGTTCCCCTCCGCAGTCCCACCGCAAGTTCTCGGCTCCCAGGCACGGCCACCTGGGCTTCCTGCCCCACAAGCGGAGCCGCCGGCACCGCGGCAAGGTGAAGGCCTGGCCCAAGGATGACCCCAGCAAACCAGTGCACCTGACGGCTTTCCTGGGCTACAAGGCTGGCATGACCCACACCGTGCGCGAGGTGCACCGGCCCGGGCTCAGTAAGGCTCAGCCCGGGGGGAGGGAAAGGGGGGAACGGGTTCCTGGGGAAAGGCTCTTTGTGGGAAGGGCTGGTGGAGCCCTGCGTTAAATCCTGGCTTGGGTGGTCAAAGGCCAGCTCAGCACGGGCTGAGTGTGGAACTCTCCACACTGGGATGGTTAGTTTGGGAGGTGGGGAGGCTGGGGCTGAGATCAAACACAACCTCGCCCCCAACACTCTCTGTGACAGCAGAAATCCTCCTGGGAATGATCCCAGAGGATTCCAGGCACCCCCTCCCTTTACTGCCTTGCAGAGGTCTCCAAGAGGGAGGAGGTGGAGGCCGTGACCATCATCGAGACCCCCCCGATGGTGGTGGTGGGGGTCGTGGGCTACATCGAGACGCCCAAGGGCTTGAGGAATTTCAAGACTGTTTTTGCTGAGCACATCAGCGATGAGTGCCGGCGGCGCTTCTACAAGAACTGGTACGGGCTCCCAAAAAGGGGATCAAACCCTGGGAGTGCCCAGGGAGGAGGTGGGGGTGTCCAAGGCACCCCTGGGTGTGGCCCTGGGCTGGGGGACAAGGTGGGGATCAGTCACAGGTTGATGGCCTGGGAGGGCTGTTCCAGCCTCAGTGATCCCGGGGTTCCCAGAGTGGGGGTGTCCTGGGGGGCTGCCTGTGAGGAATCCCTGGCAGGAATTCCACAGAATGCCCAAACAGCTCAGCTCCTGTGGAGTGACACTGCTGCCTGTTTAGTCATGCACAGGGATCCTGCAGACAGCCTGATGCTGGGGAGCAGCGTTTGCATATGTAAATTTATTCTAATAGCCGAACCAAGTTAGCTCTCTCCACAATATCATATGGCAGGTTCCTTTTCCCTCGTGCAGCTCGGGCTCCTCGGCTCCCCGCTTAACCAGAATCCTTGAGCTGGGCTGAAACCAGATTTGCCAGGGGGAAAATTGATGCAGAACGTGGCCCCTGGCCCTCACAAATATCAACAGCCCTCTGCAGAGAGGGAAGTGGGAACACGAATTTCCTCGCTGTGGGAATTGGGTCTCCTGGTCCAGCGCCATGGAGACCCACCCACCACACGCCTCTGATCCCCGTTTTCTCCTTTTCACGGCTCATCCCTCTTCCCACCCCAAGCCCTCGGCAGTCAGGTGAGGCTCAGGTACCCACGGGTAGCAGGGAAGTGCCTTTGCGATTTCCTGGCTGCAGGAATCTCCTGTGAGTGCCATGGAGATGCACCCACCCCAATCCTCCGATCCCTGCTTTCTCCTGCCTCTGATTTTGCGCCTGTTTTGACGGTGCTGAGTCAGTCAGTGGGAGACAACTGCATTCCTCATGCAGAAAGGTTTGAATTACCCTTGAACGAGCCCTTTTCAGGGCTCATTATCCACCTCCCTCTTCGCACCCCAAGGTCCTGACAGGCGAGGCTCAGGTATCCACAGGTTCCTTGTGCCACTGAGGAGGTGGCTGCCAAGGTGACCTGTCCCCTCTCTGCACTGTCACAAGCCCTTTATCAGCTCTGATGGGTGTCGGCCACTTCTGTCCTCAGGCACAAGAGCAAGAAGAAGGCGTTCACCAAGTACTGCAAAAAATGGCAGGACGAGGCTGGCAAAAGGCAGCTGGAGAAGGATTTTGCAGCCATGAAGAAGTACTGCAAGGTCATCCGTGTCATTATGCACACACAGGTCAGAGCCTCCCCCTGGCATGGGCAGGGGGCTCGGGGGCTTCCTCAGCTCTGAAGGATCTGGAAATGGGACCAGGGGGTGTTTTGGTGGGGTCACAGAGGCTGAGAGAGCAGAGGGTGTGAGATGGTGATGGGAGGTGCTGGCTGACCTTTGCAGCTGCCTCCTGAGCTCCCAGTGCCCTCCCAGAGCTCCTGCTCCAGGGTTGCCATGGTTTGGGGTCACTGGGGAGCCCCCACATCCCGATGGGAGCCCACACACCCATGGAGGAGAGCAGGAGGAGAGCAGAGCCCGAGTCCTGTGTCAGCAAAGGACCTCGGGCCTCATGATCACCTCAAATTAGCAACTGGTGTCAAATGTTTTGGGCAAAAATAAATCCAAGGGCAGGCACAGTTTTGCCAGATGCTGATTGCTGGATGCACGTGGGACTCATTTTAATGCTGATCCCTGGAGTTAAGGGCTGCTTTGGGGTCTGGGGGAGAGCTAAGTTGGCTCAAGGCCAGACAGGGTCTCTGGGCTCAAGGACAAGGAGCTGGCTCCATAAAATCCCAGATATAAAGAGCTGCTGACCCAGGGCTGCTCTGAAAGGGGGTGACTGGCAGAGAGGTGAAGCAGTGGCTCTGCTCACCCTCTACTCACAAATTGTGAGTTACCCAGCCCTGCTGCACCCTCCTGTCTGTGGGGTGAGGAGCCACATGTCACCCTGAAGCACTGTGTGCTGCAGATGAGGCTGCTCCCGCTGAGGCAGAAGAAGGCCCACATCATGGAGATCCAGCTGAACGGGGGGACAGTGCCTGAGAAGGTCGACTGGGTCCGGGAGAGGCTGGAGAAGCAGATCTCTGTGCACAGCGTCTTCAGCCAGAACGAGATGATCGATGTCATCGGCGTCACCAAGGGCCACGGCATGAAAGGTGCAGGGCCTTGGGGCTCTCCTCCTCACGTGGCTCTGCCCATCAGGCGGTTTTGGGGCAGCAGAGTGCCAACCACGCTGAGAACCCCTAACTTTTTGTAGAGGGAGTAGCAAAAAGCCTCAGGGTCTTAAGCAGGACATCCAGTTCTGTTGTGGCAGGGCTCGGTTTCCTTATTCCAGCAAGGGAAAAACTCAACAGGGGCACCTCTGATGCAGATACAGAGGAGCTGAGGAGGTGGTGGAAAGATTTTCCCTGAGATTAAGGCCAGTGAAGGCCTCCTCCCAGGAGGCTCAGAGGCACTGTCAGTACATAAAGCAACCAGGTCTATTGGGAGGTGTCCCTGCCCCTGGCAGGGCTTGGAACTGGATGGTCTTTATGGTCCCTTCCAGTCCAAACCATTCTGTGATGGTGTGAATGTCTCACAAACCCCACATGTGCAGGCGTGTGGGCGTCCCTGGGCGTGTGCATGGGACATCTCCTGGTCTGATCAGAGCCCTGGGAAGTGAGATCAGCTCCTGAACTCCTCCCAGCACGGCCTCCTGCAAGAACTGCAGGAGGGCCATGGGACTGTCCCTCAGGGAATGTCCCTCAGGAGAGTGGTGGGACAGCCCCTCAGGAGAGCCATAGGACTGTCCCTCAGGAGAGTGATGGGACAGTCCCTAAGGGAATGTTCCTCAGGAGAGCCATGGGACTGTCATTCAGGAGAGTGTGGGACTGTCCTTTAGGAGAATGATGGGACAGTCCCTCAGGGACTTATCCCTCAGGAGAGCCACGGGACAGTCCTTCAGGAGAGCCGTGGAACTGTCCCTCAGGAACTGTCCCTCAGGAGAGCCATGGGACTGTCCCTCAGGAAATGTCCCTCAGGATAGCAATGGGACTGTCCCTCAGGAGAGTAATGGGACAGTTCCTCAGGAAATGTCCTTCAGGAGAGCCGTGGAACTGTCCCTCAGGAACTGTCCCTCAGGATAGCAGTGGGACTGTCCCTCAGGAAATGTCCCTCAGGAGAGCCATGGGACTGTCCCTCAGGGATTGTCCCTCAGGAAATGTCCCTCAGGAGAGCCACAGAACTGTCCCTCAGGAGAGCCATGGGACTGTCCCTCAGGAGAACAATGGGACTGTCCCTCAGGGACTGTCCCTCAGGAAATGTCCCTCAGGAGAGCCATGGCACTGCCCTTCCCAGCCCCAGCCCTCCCTGCTGACCCTGCCCGCTGTTCCCATGCCCCCAGGGGTGACCAGCCGCTGGCACACCAAGAAGCTGCCCAGGAAGACACACAAGGGCCTGCGGAAGGTGGCCTGCATCGGGGCCTGGCACCCGGCCCGCGTGGGCTACTCCATCGCCCGCGCTGGCCAGAAGGGCTACCACCACCGCACCGAGATCAACAAGAAGGTACGGCCCAGGGGGCCCCTCAGGCCTCCCATCCTGTCACATCCTCCTCCCCACGCTGCCCTCAGCTCCCTGCATCCTCACGGATGTTTCCCTGGACATCTCCATGTCTTTCCTGGTGGTTTTCCGCTGTTTGAGGGCACAGCGTGGTGAAAACCACGTGAATCTGTGGGGGATTCTGGCAGCCTGGGAAGCTCCTCAGCAAGGGGTGGGACAGTCTCCATCTCCACGGCCTGTGTGTTCCCAGATTTACCGCATTGGCCACGGGATCCACGTGGAGGACGGCAAAGTGGTGAGGAACAACGCCTCGACGCACTACGACATCACCGAGAAGACCATCACGCCTCTGGTGAGCGCTGAGGGGTGACAGGGCTGTGCCCCCCGACTCCCCCAGCCAGCTCTCCTGCCCACCAGCCCCTCTGCTCTCCCCGCAGGGTGGTTTCCCTCACTACGGGGAGGTCAACAACGACTTCCTCATGCTGAAGGGCTGCGTGGTGGGCACCAGGAAGCGCGTGCTCACCCTGCGCAAGGTGAGCGCTCCGGGCTGGCATGGGCTGCAGCTCCCCACGGGCACATTCCCCCCCTGGAGAACCCTCCGAGTGCTGGGCAGGGACCTGGGGGGTTCTTGGTGCAGTGCCAGCAGGTGGATGGAGCTGGAGAGCTTCGGAGCTCTGGGGGCTGTGGTTCATTTCAGAAATGAAACCTTGGGTTGTCACAGAAAGGTGGAATGGGCTGCCCAGGGATGGGGTGTGGAGTCCCTCGGTGTTTAAGGACAGGCTGGACGTGGCGCTCAGTGCCATGGTCTGGGTGACAAGGTGGTGTCAGGTCACAGGTTGGACTTGGTGACCTCAGAGGTCTTTTCCAGCCTGGTTGATTCTGTGATTCTGTGAAACGCTGAGCAAAGAGCAGCTCTGCCAGCTCTCCACCACCTGAGCACCAGGGTGTTGCTCTGAGAACACAGATTTTTGAGGAGATGTTTGTTCAGAGGATATCCCAACCCTGCTTCCATGGGACCAGCTGTCCTGAGGTCCTGTGGCCATTCTCCTGATGTTGTGGCTGTTCTTTCCCAGTCCCTCCTGGTGCACACGAGCCGCCGGGCCCACGAAGCCATCGAGCTCAAATTCATTGACACCACTTCCAAATTCGGCCACGGCCGCTTCCAGACAGCTCAGGAGAAGAGAGCTTTCATGGTGAGTTCCTCGGGCTGCCTCAGGAGGCCACAGCAACTGACTGGCTCCAACCAAGCTTCTTCCAGGTGTCCATGGGCAGGGAGGTGGAACTGGATGAGTTTTGTGTCCCTTCCGACCCAAGCCATCCCAGGATTCTCTGATTCCATGATTCTGTGGTGTGTTTCTTGATACAACAACAGCCAAGGGAATGCTGGTGACGCTCTTGCCTAAAGGCAGCCATGAATTCAGTGCACAGAGCAGAAATGATGCTAAGGAAGAACAGGATGGTTGTGTGAGTGATCCAAGGCAACTCAACCAGCAAATAAAAGACCATATGGGCAACCAGTTCCCATTCACCATGGGAAGTTTTAAACAAGCAGTTAACTCAGCAGGCACTGTCCTGGCCATATGGTGCCTTTCACTTGGGATTGTGCACTGCTTTGATTTGTTTGGAATGATTTATAGCTTTAATGTTCTCAGAGGATAAAAAGTTTGGGTCAAATTCAGATGCAAATTTGTGTTGCCTTTGTCAGAAGCTTTCAAGAAGGCCAAGCAGTGCGTTTTTCTTAAATCCAGGGCAAATATAATATAATTAAATAATCCAAACACAGCAGTTTCCTGAATAGTTTTGCAGCCTTCACCAGGCTGGTGTGAGTCTGAGTCTGAAGCGGAGGAAGCACTGAGTAAACCAGGAGAGGGAGAAGGGAGAAGGGAAAAAACCAACTCCCTGTGTCCCACGCAGACACAAACTGGGTCTGGATCTGGCCTGTCAGCCAGAAATGCCATGTGAAGCTGGCTAAGCCTCCTTAGAGCTGGCAGGGGGATTGGTTAGGCACTGCCTTTGCAGAGCTCTTTAGAGGTTAAGCTGATTTCCTTCAGCTCAGTGTCAGCAGCCTGTTGTGTCACTGCCAGCCCTGAGCTGCTGTGACGAGGAGCTCGGTGAGAGGAGGAGGTTTGACCTGGCTGCAGCTCTTTTCTTTGCCATTTTGCCCCATGGATTCTGTGGCAAAACATCTCATTTGTCTGGAAGTTGAGGGACATAAGGAATTCCTGCCACCTGCTCCCATAGGATTGATTTGCTGTGGGATAACCCCATTTTTAATCTGCTGGCCCGAGCTGCCGTTCTGGCTGCCACAGCCCAGACACAACCATGCAGGCCAGGTCTGTGTGTCCCTAAATCCCAGCTCTCCTCTCTGCTCTCTTCCAGGGCCCCCAGAAGAAGCATTTGGTGAAGGAGAAGCCAGGAGTGCAGGAAGAGCTCTAAGGACAGAGGTCCAAGGCTGCCTGGCTGGGCACTTGCAATAAAGGGGCTCCAAGCCAAGCCTGCTCCTCTCTCCTCCTGGAGGGGTCTCTTGCCTGTTCTCAGGCTCCTCAGCAGGTGGGGATGGGAAAAGTGGCATTTGGGACTGGCCCACATGGACAGGGACTCACTGGGACAGCCAAGGGCCTGCTGTGCCCTCTGGATCCCCCCTTTCCTTTCCTCCCAGTTTTTTTCCCACTCACCCAAATCACCACGGAGCCTCCCCTCCCTCTCACCCAGCAGAGAGCAGAGCACGTTCCAGCACTTCTGCCCCAGTTTCCACTGGGAATACTGGGCATTCCCAGGACCTGGCTCTGCCCAGGCTCCCTGCCTGTCCCCTCAGTGCCTCTCCACACACCTCCAGCACTGCCTTTGCCAAGCTGAAGGTGCACCCCGGGGGTTTCTCCCTGCTCAAAGCCCCCGATCCTGGCTGGAGTCCTGGCAGAGGTGGGAATTTGTGCACAACACGAGGGCTGCTAGGCAGGGCTGGGCAGCGATGGATTTATTCACCTGGGCCCTCTCCCCCCCGTGCTTGCCTTGCAGCCCAGCTGCCTGTGGGGAGGGGGGATGCCCCGGGGCCGGGAATTTTGGATCAGCGATGATCCCAACTCCTTCGGTGCCGTGATCCAGGTGTCCTGCACCCTCTTTGGAACCAGACAGTGGGAAGCCCAGCCCTCCACTGTGCAGAGCTGCCTGCTTGACCAGGAGTCCTGGAGTGTGGAATTCCTTCTCCAGCAGCCTGGCTGTGCCCCGGAGGTGTGCTTGCAGGATTTGAGGAGGCTCAGCTGCAGAAGCAGAGCATGAGGATGAACCCAGGCACAGCCCTGCATGCAGGCTGTCCCGTGTCCCAGCGAGGTCCCTGAGCTCTGGGCAGTGTCCCTGCCCCTGGGGTTGTGCTTCAGAGCCTCCTGTCCCCCTTGGCTGGGGGGTCCCGGGGCGGTCCCGTGGAGGGGGGCCAAGGATCCAGGCCAGAGCGCATGATGGGAATGATGAGATCGTCCATGTTTGGCATCACCAGAATTTTCTACAAAGAGGAATCCAGAATAACAAATCAGTGGGTCTGAACACCACGGGGACACTCCTGGAGGAGCCTTGGCAGGAGCCAGGCCCAGGTCAGGGACTGTGAACTGCAGGTCCTGGGCTCCCACCCCACAGCAGCAGCCCCAGGAGGGTCCCAGATCTGGATCAGGGTGGGGACAAGCAGGGACAGTTTTTCTTTGCCCTGGTCACCTCAATGGCTGCAGGGATGGTCATAGCAGAGGGGAGGGACCAGTATTTTGAAACTATCCAAATGGGTGGCTTTTGGGGGGCCCTAAGTATCTGTGGGGACATTTCTGCTCTTTGAGCAGAGGTGGGAGGCTGAACACAAACCCTTGGGAAGGCAAATCTCCCAAACATCCCCAAACCAGAATGGACAGGGGATTCAGCCCTTCTGGGGGGTGTCTGCCTGGGACTGCCTGACACCCCAAACCCTCCCTGCAAATGATGGGAGGAAATCACTTTCCCTCAGCCCTTGAGCTGGTTATTTGGGTTCTGCATCTTCACTGCTCCAAGCTGGCCAGACCAGACCAGACCAGGGGCTGGCTTTTTGCAGAAACAGCTGGCCCGAACTCCCCGATGGCAGCAATGCCCAAGCCTCAGCAGGGTTTGCTGAGCCCCTGGACAGCAGCCCAGGCACCTGAAACTCGTGCTTCAGCTTCTTCTCGATCCACTCGGTGACATGCAGGAACGTCACCTCCCGCTCGCCCAGCTTGGGGCGCACCTTCAGCTCCAGCTGCGGGGGCACTCGGAAGCTGTACCTGCGAGGGGACAGGGAAAGGCAGAAAGCATCACCTGCCAGAGATGTGGCACAGCCTGGGTTTCAGGGAGGAGCTGACAGCTCAGGGTCCCCACATCTGTGCTGGCCTGGGTGCAGACTCAGGAATGAGCCTGGGGTCTGTGAGCCCCTTTGGGGAGCAGCCTTGGGATGTTGGTGCCAAGATGAGCCCAAAGCCCTGGGGCTGGGTGCCCACAGGGGGCAAGGGGTGCTGGCAGCAGGACGTGCTGGGGGAGCAGAGCTGGTACCAGACACGGTCGGTGGGCGGCGGGGGGATGTTCACAGCCAGGGTTCCTGCCAGCTCCTGCACCTCCACCGTCAGCAGCAGCGGCGTGTTGGACACCTCCTCCATCTTCTTCTTGATGAACTCGTTCTCCGTGGCCTTCTGGAAGTACTTGGACTTGGCGATCTTGTCCACGAAGCGCAGGATCTTCCTGCTCGTGCTGTTCCCGCCGACATGCCTAAAGCAAGAGGGGGCCTGCTGGGTTTTGGGGTCCCCCCGCCCTCTGCCACAGCACCCCACAGGCACAGAGTCCCCTTTGGAGGCTGCCACGATGTGCTGTGTGTGTCCTGCTGAGGACACCATCCCCATGTCCCTGTGCTGACGTGGCACCGTGCGCCCCCAGCCCCTCCCCGTGCCCCCCGTGGCACGGACCCCCAGCACCCCCGTACCCCTCGGGGCCAGGCGGGGGCGGCCGCTCCCCCACGGGCTCTGCACTGGTGCCATCTTCCTCGTCGGAGGAGCCGGCGCTGGACGACTCGGCGTCGCTGTCTGCCAGCAGGATCAGCCGTGGCCTGGCCCTGCGAGCCCCAGGAGGTCACAGGCTGCTCTGGGAGAGCGGCCTCGCCCCGCTGGGGCAGGAGGAGCAGGAGAGCCCCTCCACGGGCACATTCCTCACCCCTCTCTGCCTGCCTCTGCAGGGCCGCTCTCCTCTGCAGAGCTCTCCTTCCCCAGCTTGCTGAGGTTCATCTTGGTCTCCAGTGTCATCTGCAAGGAGCCGCTGTAGGTGACCTCCATGTCCACCCAGAGCCCTGCCAGGGAGAGGGACAGGGCGAGATTAGGTCAGCACCTCGGGGCTCAGAGCTGGGCACTGCCAAGCCCTCCCAGCTCTGGGCACCGGGCTGGCAGCTCTGTAAAGCCATCCTGGAGGCAGCACTGGGGTCCCTGTGCCTCTGTGGGGCTCTCACCTCGCTCGTTGATGCTGGGGCTGGAGGCACTGAGCACCGAGGGGATGGATGTGCCCATGTCCAGCTCTGTCAGCGTCAGCTCGTTCATGAAATAGGGGAGCTGATGGAGGGAACCCCCGTGGGGGACAGTCAGCACTCGCCGTGGGGCCTCGGGAGCAGGGCTCCCCTGGGCGACGCTCCTGCCTCTCACCTTGATCTTGCTCAGCTTCTTCTGGATCTTGTTGGACACCTGCTCTGCCCAGTACTGCTCGCGCAGGAAGTCCCAGAAGATGCGTGCCACCAGCGCGTTCATCCAGGCCATGCTCGTGTCCTCGTGGGAGGGGACAGCAGCCACCAGCCCCTGCAGCGGGGTGGCCCCGTGAGCAGTGGGACATGCTGTCCTGTGCCCCGGGGCCTGGCTGCTCAGGCAAACCCCACACTGGAAGCGGCTCCATCAGCCAGGGCTGGGCTTGTCCCCCTCACCTTTGTGGGCGTGGGGCTGCCCAGAGCTCCATGAGAGGGGCTCCTCTCCGGGCTGCCTGTCCCCTGTGCTGGCACGAACCGGGCCATGTAGGTGCTGTAGTCCAGGTAAATCTCCTCGGTGCTTCCCGACGCGTCCCTGGAGGGATCCGTGCCTGGGATGTCCTCGGTGCTGCCCCCGCTGCTGCTGCCGCTGCTCTGCGCAGCCCATCCCGTGCCTGGCCGTGTGGAATCACAGAATCCTTTCGCTTGGAAAACCCCTCTCATGTCATCAACACAACCACCCCAGCACTGCCCAGGCCAGCACCAACCCGTGTCCCCAGGTGCCACATGCACGTGGCTTTAACTCCCTCCAGGGATGGGTTCCAGTATCCCCAGTATCCCCCTGGGCCTGGACAGCCCTTTCAGTGACAGAACTGCTCCTAATATCCACTCTGTTGGGTCAGGATGGCATCAGGGGTGACACGGTGCCTCTCCATGACACCAGTGACATGCCACCCACTTTGTGCTGATGATCTGAACCCTCTTGGCTGCACTTTGGGCTCCTCCATGTCTGTCCCTCCACGCTCACTGCTGCCCACCAAGGCACCCTTGGGTCAGTCTCTGCTCCTGGGCCAGTCCTGGCCGTGGTGGCTGCCCCTCACCTGTCACCCTGCTGTCACCGTGGCTGCTGGCTGTCCCACGGGAGGCTTGCACGAGGTGCTGGTACCACTCCTCCTTCTCCCGCCCCGTCCGCCCGAACAGGTACAGGCACCTGTCCCTGCCGTCCCCCGGCACGTCCTGCCCGGCCACCGGCGCCTTCCCGGCGCCCTCCTCCCCCTGCAGCTCCGTGTCGCGCTCCTCGCCGCCCTGTCCCTCCTCCGCCTGGGCCAGCAGCACGCAGATGGGATATTTCTTGTTCCACGTCCGCTTTCGGGCCAGGCTGGGCGGGCACAGGAAGACCTGCGGCACCGAGAGCGGGGTGAGCCCGGCCCGGGCGCGGAGGCTCCCCGGGGGACCCCCGGGCTCACCTTGGCGTCCGTCAGGTCGTAGCAGCGGTGGCTGACGAAGGCGGCGTCCAGGATGTCCTCCTCGAAGGTGGCTCGCCGCGGGATGTTGCTCTTGGGGTAGGACAGCTTGAGGGTGGCCCCGTCCAGCACGGCCCGCACCGAGTGCGTGAGCGACGGGTGGAAAAGCTCGGGGTCGTACACGCGCAGCTGGTTCATCCAGCCCTGCAACAGGGGAGGGGGGATGCTCCCGCTCACCACGGACACCCCCAGCCCCCCACCCCGGACCACCCCTCTCCTACCTGGAGGCGGGGGGCTTCCCGCGGCTCCCCCGGCAGCAGCTTGGGGCGCAGGCGGCCCCAGGCTCCCCGAGCGGCCGGCGGAGCCTTGGGCACGAGGAGGAGGATGGCGAGGAAGCCCAGCAGCATGCCGCAGAGCAGCCCCAGGCAGAGCCCGGCGGCGTAGGGCGGCAGCGGCAGCACCAGGTAGCCGTAGGCGAGCAGGGCGATGCAGGCGAGCGCCCGGCCCGGCACGGAGCCCCCGGGCCCCGCCGCCGCCTCCTCGGCCGCCGGCAGCGGCGG